AGAGGAGGGGCAAATAGCCCGGTTACATGTTCAAACAAAAAGAAAGAAGACAAAGAAAACTAAGCTAGGGGGAAAGGTCTGTGAATTCATCCTCGGTCGCGACCTCCAGGTCGACCGTGGTTGTGGTCTCCTGGGCGCTGGTCTTCCCTGGCCGACTCGATTTGGCAGTTGTTCACCTTCCGCATTCTCCTCGGCATCTTCAGCTTCTTTCTTTCTCGCGCCTTTACTGCCAATGGCGCTGAAGACGTCGTTGCATAGCGCACACGAGATAGGTCGGTAGGAAGGCAGCTGGAGGAGAGGCAAACACGTCGGTATCAGGTCCTTGGCCGAGCTGTTCACAAGCAGCCTTCCAGCTCACCTTGAAGAAGATGTCTTGGTTGGCATGGACCTGCTTAGTGTAGTTCTCCTCGGCCTCCTTGAAGCCGGCATTGTTTGCATCCTCCAGCTCCTCCTTTCTTGATTGCTTCAACCTCTCCAGCTCGCTCTTGAGCACATCCCTCTCTTGTTCGGCAACACCAAGCTAGCCGAGCAACTTAGAATTGTCAGAATTTTCCATCTGCAGCGATGCTTTGGATCGATCGAGCTCGGCTTGAAGGTGTTCCACCTAGTTGGTAGAGTTGGTGGCCTTCTGCAGGAGTCGATGAATGCGCTCCATGACCAAGTGTTGTTTTTGGATAGCCTGCAAGAAGAAGGTTTGATTAGAAAGAAAACTGAGCAAACACTTGGAAATTTTTTTGGCAAAATGTGCAAAGTTCTTACCCTGGTCATAGACTTAACCGAGGATTTCACCAGCTGGGTGTCCGGCACATGGTCGTTGCCGACCACGTCGCTCGATAGCAGCAAGGCTTTGGTGAGGTCAAAGGCGAGCAGATGCTCCTTGTCGCCTTTGACAGAAGCAGTTGCTGGGATCTCTTTACCCCGGTGCTTGAGTTGGGGCCTCCATGGCGGAGTTGGGTCAGCTATCACGGTAGGTTGCTCAGTGTTGAGCTCCGCAACTAGCTCGGCAGAAGGGTCTGCACGTGGCCCTTTGCCAGCTCGGCGGTTTTCTTTCCTGGCTTGCCTGGTGGCGGGAGACACCAGTGCAACCATGGTCCCGCTGGATTGCCCGGCAGCAAGAGAGCGAGTTGGGATGCTCGGTATCTCGGTGGAGGTGGCAGTGATGAGGTTCTTGATGTAGCTTTTTTTGGCCATCTCTTCTGCCTCGGTCAACTGGATGAATGACATGTCCGGTAATGTGGGATCGGGAGGTGGAGATGGAGCAAGAAGAAAGTCTGTGACTTTACTCCGGCGTGGAGCTGAATATCTGTATGTCGGTGTGTAACCGAGGAGCTCGTGGCAATCCCGGTTGCGGTAGCAGAACACGGTTCTGATTGCTGCTTCGTTGGGATAATGATAGTGGGCTTGTAGGGCTTCGATTGCTGCAAAGGAAAGCAGAAAAAATGTTAAGTACAGAATAGTGAAGAAAGATAAATTGACCGAGCAGGTAGCACGGCTTACATGTTGAACCGATGTTCTTGCTAATGAACCAGCCCGGTACGTCGGCTGTTTCATAGTTGCCAGACACTTAGAAAAAGTCATCATCGTGCAAGTCCTTGTCCGGGGTGCCGGTCACTATCTTCTCTTTGACCAGTTTAATTTTTAAATAGTAGGAGAGGCCGTTGCCTGTGTGCCCTAGGGTGTATTGGCGGAGTATCTCGGCTATCCCTAAATTGGTCCTTAGCCGGTTGTTCAGCTCGTGGATCCCGTTGATTATTCTGTAAGTGTTGGTTGAGACTTAGGTAGGTGCTAGCCCGGTGCATCATAAGAATTCGGTCATGAGTGGATTAACCGGGAAGCGGAGGCCTCCTTCTATGATGGATAGCACGGTGAAGGGGCATTGGTTTAATCTGCCCCATGGATTTGTGTCAATGGCACAGAGCTCTAGGTGAACGTCGGCCGGGATATTGTACTCTTCCCAGAACGCGGCTAGGGCAACCGGAGTGTCGACAAGGAAGCGGTAGCGCCCCATGTGTAGTCGGCAGGTTTAGCTCGGCTGAGGTGGTTTGGCACAGACTGGTGTTTGATGGCTGTTCCGTCTTTGAGAGCCTCGGTATTGGTCTGTGGTCCCCTTGGACTCTGCAGGAAAAGGAGGGTAATTGTAAGTGGAAGCGCAGTCGCGCAAAATGAGCTTGACTTTAGCTCGGTCAGGAAGAGTGCCAGACCACCTCCGTCGCGAAGGCAAACCAAGGAGCTCGGTCGCTCATGCGGACCAGATGTTAGCCCAGTCGAGCGGCCAAGTCCTCTGCCTACCTCGGTTTCTACTAAGGTTTTGGCAAACTTGTAATTTGCTCGGTCTTAATGTTTTTTTAGGATCAAAAGAAGACCTGGAGCCCCGTCCGCCCCAGATCTTCAAGTGTTCATCAGTGACGCTGAAGAACAGCAAGGGGAACAAGGGGCAGGGGAGGGTTTTGGGGAGCTATACCCTAAAATCTATGGTTTTAGTGCTCTAAAACAAGAAATATCAAATGAAACAGCCACAAAAAGATTCGAAGAGCTTACCAGTAGAGGCGAATGCAGATCCTTCAGGCACGAACGCAGAAGGAGGGCAAGAGTGGGAGCTGCTGAGGGCACTGGAGCTTTGGATTGACAAGACTGAAGGTGAGTCAGTAAGAACGAAAAGTGAAGGAGAAGTGACGTATAAATAGAAGTGAGAGACTGCCAAAAATTTTGAATGTGAAGGGACGTGATGGTTTGCTGCTCGAGGCCAATAAACGAGCAACGCGTGTCCTAATTAATGGCGGCGTCAGAGTTGAAGAGACAGGAAGGTGAGATGAGACGTTGACCGGGCAAATCGAGGAACTGAGCACTGGAATTAGTGTGGTTGACGTCTTGCAAACAACAGGCTGAGGAAGGGTCTACCTCGGTCGGATCATGTAATCCCGGTCACGTTTTTGCGGACGGAATTAAGGGGCAATTGAGAGGGAGATTTTATGAGCTGGAAATGGACCATGGTAAGGGCCGGGCAAGTTAAAGGCCTAGCACGTTTGGACCAGGATAGCTTTGGGCTTGCCCGGAGATGGGGCTGCTCGGCTAAAGCCCAAGACCGAGCTACTTGAACTTGCGTTGCTCGGCAGGAAGGCTCACGCCTTTAGCTCGGCAGGAAGGCCTTCGTTTCACCCGCGTGACCTATTTCGAGCTCGGCTCTGCCGGAATACAACTGAGCTCAGTCGGTATGGAGCTTGGCTAGTGAGCATTCGGGCATGCGGTGCAGTACGGCCGTGTGAGGCCGAGGTGATTCCGCCGGTCTGCCGGGCTTCACCAAGATATCCTGACAGTTTGGTTAGGTGGTGATTGCTGGATTTGTGCTGACAGATGGGATAGCAGCACCACGTGTCAAGAGACTAATGGGAGTAGATTTGGGGCGCAGAAGGTATATAAGCGTGTCTGCGCCCCCATGCTGAGACAGATGATCATTTTGGTGAGAAACACTTGAACACTCAACTCTCTCCTCTCTCTCTCTATCTCTGAGTGTGTGCTAACTTGACCATCGGAGGGGTTTTCCGGCCACACACCGTCGGGTAGCTCACCGTCGTTGTGTTCGCAGGTCGATCGGACAGACAAGGAGCTTGGTAAAAAGAAGTACGGGCACGCCGAAATATTTGCTTCCTATACAATTATATAAGAATACCTCTAATAATAGGTATATAAAATTTTAAATTATATATATATATATATCCTAAGAACATATGTCAGTAAGACTATTTTTTTAAAGTACAAAGTTAATTGTTCAAGTGATAATGTAAATAGGAATTACATCCATACATTTTTGTAAAATGAAAATATATTCAACTGCAAATTTATAAGATTACCATATTACTATTTAAAAAAATTCTATGGTTCTTATTCTTTTTTAATTTGTCTGTGTTCTTCGTTGTGAGTCATTATTTTGTAGTGGTTGGTTATGTGATATTTTTTTTGTTCCGATCTAAATTGATTTTAGTGTCATTCAACATCTTGTAATGTTTAGATATTATGAACATAAGAAGGTTCTGTGCTATTAGGATAAAAAAAAGTAATTTTCATTATGCTGACTTCTGTGGTGTTTTTGTGATGAACTAATTTGATCTTATTATTACTCAAATTGATAAAAGTTATTAACCTCTATTAACTCAAATTTTAAGCAGTGGATTCAATTCTATCTGTGTACAAAGTAGAAATTCCCTTTCCATGATCTACTAGTAGATGAAATCAATCTTAAATTTTCCTTTAAGAGTAAGCCTTGATGGTAAATTAGTTATTCAAGCACAAAAAGTAAGGCAATTTGAGAAGAAATGGCAAAACACAAGCCTTAAGAGTAATTTAATTGTAATTCAACTGTAATTCAATTGTGTCGCAAGGGTAAAATAAGAATGAAAATACAAGCCTTCTATATCACGTATCAAAGCAATTCTTATATATATAAATATATAAAATAAATAAATTTAAAACACAGCCAAAAATCATGTCTGCATTTTACCAATGAGTAATGTTACAAATTTGAAAAATTATATTAAATATTCTATTAAATATCTCGTTTGAGACTTACATAAAACTCACATTAGTTCCCGCCTCTATAATTTAAATCCCACGCCTATACGATACATTTGATAAAAAATTTAATAAAACTTCTAAAATTTCTAACATTTTTCTTAACAATTGTCAAATCTCCTATCAGCACAGGATCATGTTGCCCCATTAGTGGACAAATGTTTTTCTTTCACCATCATCGGCAAAATATTTGACGGAAAAAACACACAAACACCGGTGTCTAAAAGATACTTTTGTGCCTGTTATTTTCATCATTATAGAGTGGGTGCAAAACATCACATTGTAAATCTAATCCAAAACATCCAAGATAGATTAACCCAAAGCAAGCAGCCCACATCATTCACATTGGTGTTTCTAATGTAAATAAAAATACGTCTGTTTTGAGTGTTCAAAGCTTCTACGGTAAATTTTCCATCAACCAAACTCCAAAAATGTGTAGAGAATCTCATATTTATATTAGATTAAAATGAATTCAGCATGGCCAATAATACATAAACATCCTTCTTATGATCCAAGCAAAAGACAACAAATTGCACCGTTTTCAGTTCTGGAAACGAAACAAAAGCCAAGTCTATACACAACTGAAAGATCCATTCGATCCACGGTTAGACAAAATTGCCCAGCTGCTTGATCAAGTTCAATTTCTTCTCTTCTTCTTTTTCTCTTCCTTCTCAGAAGAGTTCTTCAGCTGCACAACCAAAACACGAGTCAGTAGTGCAATTATTTTGGGCCATTTTGGGAAGTGGGTTATAATCCGCTTCCCAAATTGGGGCTGTTTGTTTCAACTTTTCAGAGTCAACTTACAACTTTTAGCTTTGAAAAAGTTATTTTGAACTGTTTGGTTAAACTTATTTCAAACAGCTTTTGCTTCTAACAGCTTATTTTAACTCAAAAAAGTTAATTCTGAGAAGCTACTCACCCCTTACTTCTGATTATCAGCTTCTGCTGTGGACATGTTAATTTATGGTTATACTCTTAAATTTTTTTATTTTTTATTTTTTTAAAAATAGAAAGAGACTCAAATGGACTATACATTATTATTATTATTTTTTATGAGAAATGTAGACAAACAAAAAATAAAAATTAATTGAAAAAGCTATTTCACAGCTTATTTAACAAACACTACTCAGCAACTTAAATCTATAAGCCAACAGCTACATCAAACAGATTAACAACTTCTGATTAAAGTCATAATCTATAATCTGTTAAGCTATAATCTATAAGCTGTTTTAACAGCTACACCAAACGGGGCCATTATAACCCATTTCCTCTCTCACAAAAAAACTGCTTATAAGTTGGCTGCTTATAAACAACTTTTTAGTAAAAAACTGATTATAACCATCTTCCCAAAATAGCCCTTTATAAAGTAACTTGTCAACAACAATAATGACTGCCACATGAATTAATGAATTGTAAAGTCAAAAAAGTTTTTTTGTCATCTAAATGAAATGGAATTAAGCACACAAACTCACCATGATTATGAGAATCCGAACAAAAACAGCAGCAAAATCAGTGAAAAGGGTTAGGGCATGCTTTACATAGTCTAGATCCCCAAAGTGTGCCCTCTCAATTATATCCTGGGTATCTACTACAATGTAGCCAACAAACACCAAAAGCCCAAAGTACAACTGCGGATAAAAATCAATTAATCAATTAAGCAAAACAAGCATACAATATCAGAACCCTATCAATTGATTTCTAACTACGATAACGAAGGCAATATAGCTAGAGTGTGACAACTAGTAACATACCTCAAACTTGAAGAGAGCAGCAGAACCTCCAAAGATAGAGGATGCAAAGTGCAACCAGAAAAGGATGGAGAGACCAGATGAAAGAAGACCTCCCAGGTAAAGGTATTCCCTACGCCTAGCCAACATGGCTGCCATTGAAAAACAACCAAAAGCCACAGCACAACCCACAAAAGCACTGACCAGAATGCTGCAGTGGGGGAGAGAATTTTAAGCATCAACAAAGTGATTCCAACAATGACATCAGGGTAATAATTTTTCCATAGACCATTCAACACAAGTAGGCAATTCTATGAAGACACAGAGCATAAGTAAACCATGAACAAGACAATAAAGACTAACTTTGAGCGTAAATTCTGCTATAAGATGATTGGATGCACTCTAGTATAAGAGAAGTACATCATTCATTGCTCCACCAGAATCAGGAAAGGAAAATTTTAGGTCTACAAAGGGAAGAAATTGCTTCCCATTGACTCATAGGCTATTAAAGACGGTATATGCCAAATGTAAATGTAATAAATTACTAAGAAAAACTAACCCACCACACAAAACAAAAGCAAGAAAAAAAAACAATCAACTTAAAATACAAACAATTATGAAATCCATTAAAACAATAGTAGATAGAATGAAAACTTGCCTTGGATCAATTTCAATAGCCAAGTCAATCAGAGGACCAATTGAAGCGCCTTCAAAGAGTGCAGCTGCCATTAAGAGGGCAACCCTCTTTTGCTGCTTAGCAAAATATATAAAAAATTCAACATTGTGTACAAAAGACGAGAGAAGTGACAAAATGCAAAAGACGGATTACTACCTCTTCATATGGAGGGGTGGAGAGTAACCAAACAATGCTTCCCATGCAACCAAGGGTTGTAAGGAGTCCACCAATGTTCCAGAGGATATGCAGATAAGCTCCAGTGGCCGAAGCAATCAGAGCGCAACATAGTGCGAGATAAACCTGTAAACCAAAATTTAAATAAAATAAAATAAAATAAAGCTACAGAAATTGGAAGAATAAAGAATATCACTTCTATATGTAAATCAGGACATCACAGATCAAAGAAAAACCACACAGTGACAACAAGCAGACTTTGACAACATGAGATAAAACCCTGTTTTAATTTTTGAATTTCGCATTAAGAAAAATGAAACTTCTGCAAACATATCGTTTTCATTTTGCGGAAAAACAGATATCAAAAATTCAAAAAAAAAAAAAAAAAAATCTTTTGGTGTTTCCTGACAAGTAGATTGTTTTCAGATATTAATCTGATTAAGAACAATAAAAGAGGCGTCATTTTTCAAACTTTTAGGTCTTCAATTAAGGTAGAAGCTCATGATTTGTGAAAGGCCAGACAAATTGTACAAAAAACAAAAAAATTCAATTACAGAATCAAATTTCCGCAAAATCATCGATCAGAAACCCTAATACTTGTCGATTCCTGTTTGGTTGCTCGAAAAAAAGCACGAACAAAAAAGAAACAACAATTCACAATATCAAAACTCCCAAAATCATCAATAGTCCTTTTCTCTTATATCTTCCTTCATTTTCTCAGAAAAGAGAGAATTGAAACCTGTTTGAGATGAGTCTGGACGACGGGAGAGATCTGACGGAGGTTCTTGAGAGAATCGTAACTCCAGCTGTTGCGAGACGACGACTGAGATTCGAAGAACGACGAGAACGCATCCATTTTTCTTGAGAGAGATCGATCGATTGATTCGATTACAAGTTTGTATCGTAGGTATGTAACTGTCTATATCGCCTTTTAGAGATAAATATATATGCGTCTATATATATATGGAATGGAGGCGGGTCAGGTTAGAAATTACTAGATAGCAAGCGAAGTATCTCGATTTTCTTCATTTATCATACCTCAATTTACGAAACTATCCTTAACTTCGTTTTTTTTTTTCTTTTTGGTTATAGGGAAATCCTCCCATCCTCCCGCAGGTTCAAGGTAGCGCCCCATGAGGAGATTATCATGGTGTCTTATTGTTCGTTCTGAGTAAGAGACTATAACCTGGAAGCTTGTCCTGACCTCCCAAGGCAAGCTTCGATTAAGTCAAGACTCACACAGCGGGGAGCATTAAACCTACACCAAGTAGCTGATTAGGCATCCTTGAGGTCCAACCTCCTAACCAACAAGCTTCGATTAAGTCAGGACTCGCACAGCGGAGAGCATTAAACCTACACCAAGTAGCTGATTAGGCATCCTTGAGGTTCAGCCTCCTAACCAACAGTGCTTCGCCCAGGAGATTGGCCCAATGGGGGAATTGAACTTGTGACCTTGGGGCTTAAACCCCAAGGCCTTACCACAATGCCACAACCCCTTGGGTTTCCTTAACTTCTTCACTCTCAAGAAAGTACCCGAATTTGTTTTCACCCGCATAATAAAATATAACCCAAATTCATTTTCATTTATCATACCTCAATTTACGAAACTATCCTTAACTTCTTCACTCTCAAGAAAGTACCCAAATTTGTTTTCACCCGCATAATAAAATATAACCCAAATTCATTATAATAATGTTTATAAACTATGCTCGCCAGATCGGATGGGATTGGGTGATATCTCCATCGCTATTTATCTAAAATTTGATTAATTGAAAAAAAATCAATTTGGATCCGTTTATTGATTTGGCAAATGTAGATTGAACATGATATCCAAGTTGGTGGATAGATGCAATCGGATTCATACGGGTGTAGGATGGTTGATTCTTCATCCAAATTATATCTACAGATTTTAAAACATTTCTTCTGCATTCGTCTGTTGAGAGATCTGTTCAAAATCAGTTGGATTAAATCGGGTTAGGTGAAACACATAGACCAAATACAGAATAAGATATAAATGTTTCACAAAAGGTGAATCACATATATAAGTCTCACTCACTTCATGTGAACCCTACCCTTTATAAGACATTTATGTCCCATTTTATGTTTAGCACCTATGTACATAAATCTATTCAATTCATTAACATGACAAACTCTTCTAGGACTGGCAAATTTTTTTATTTTTCTCTTGTTTTGTTGGCTTAAAACCTTGTGAAATTTTCTCAAATCAGGATTTTTCATTTTTCTAGAAACATTATCAAACATAAATTTCTCAAATTTTCAACAAATTTGGTTGGCTTACAATTTTTATTTTTTTTATTTTCTTTTGATATTATTACCTCAAATAATATGAGTGATTTTTCAAGGGTACTCAGTTGATAAATTCAATTTTAGATTTTCTTTATCTAAAGATTTACACTATAAATTACTTGGTCCATATCGACAACTTATTACAAAATGACCAAACTATCCTTATTTATTTATAATCCACGCGTTTTCCTCCATAATCAAACCCTTCTCTCCCTACCCATGCCTTTTCCTTTCTCTCTTTTTCTTTACGTTTTCTCTAAAACAACAATGGCCACCGTTTCTTTGGACGAAGAAACATCAAAGAAAGTCATTCGTCTGTGTAGACACCTCATTTTTTTACAGCCATTACGACTTGGAAGCCATCGCATGCACACCCGATGATGAGTTTATTTGCTCTTTAAGTGCTCGAAGTTCTCAGCGGAATGCCACAGCTTTGAGCCTTTCAAACCTTGCACCTGTTGCCTTATTCTTGGACCACACCCTAACTTTTCAAGCTGGCAACCCTTGGTGGCCTGCCGGCCACTCTTCTTGGCTGCCGGCCTGCTGCTGACCTTCATTCTTGGTTGCCGGCCACCAGTGATGGCCGGCTGGCCACTGGTGTCAAAAAGAAGCTTTTTGCAAATATATGTGTCAACTGTTTCCACACTACTCCAACTGTTTATATATAGATATTTTTGACCTGAGGCTCATGTTTTCTATATATAGATGACCTATCTCTCATATTTCAAGGGTTAGAAAATATCCTCTCTCTCTCTATAATTTTCTCTCTCTATAATTCTCTCTCTCTCTCTCTTGCAACTTAGCCTTTGTTCTTGTGTTTCCCACCTCTTTGTCAACTTTTTTTAAGCTTTTAAACATTGATTTCCATAGTTATTTCAATGGCTAAAATCATGTTTTGAAGTCCAAAATTGGAAGGGTTAGCTTCCCCTTCTTATGTCTTGTTCACTAGTTTGCATAGTTCCATGTTATAGCTTACTATTTTAGCTATTTTTGTCTTAATTCCAACACTTCTTTTGCATGTTTTAAGACTGTTTTGGGACTATTTTAAGTTTTTATTGCATTTATGCTTTGTTTTCATACTTATAGTGTAATTGTCCTCATAAATTTGGTATTTTAGGCATTAGACACTACCTTATTTGACTTGATAGTGTTTATTTATGGCTTTCCATACTTGTGATCACTCTTAATCACCTCTGCAACCTCCCTCATTTCTTGGCTTTTCATTTGCTTTGAAAGTGGTTTCAAACTACTTGTTTGTTTAAGCATGAGATTGAGATGTCATGCTTAATGGTTTAATCCTTTTGGGGGTTCATTACCAATGGTATGATGTCTCTTTCATGCCTAAAGTAACACTTGGTTTGAGCCCTCTTTCCATTAGAGGACTTAAACTCACCTTTGGACTTAATTGATTAAAGAATGGATGGTAACCTAAAATGGAGTAACAAAATTGAGGCTAAAAACAAGGTGCAAGATAAGAATTTTGTTGTGTTCAATCGGACATTAATTCAACGCATGGAAGCTTGGACCATTTCATACTTAGTAGTGATGAAATGATTCAAGTTTCCTTGGATTGTGTGGCACCTCAGCTAGCATCGCAACACCTTTTCTCCCTCTTCTTCGGAGCCCTTATTCCTGGAATATGCTGCAATTTGTTCATGAAGTAAATGGATTGATCACTAACATGCATGCCTTCGTCCTCATCTAAGATTATTTGTAGCACTTGGGTTTTCGCCAGAGCGAAGCTCGAAAGAAACACATCCTTATCACCATTATTGATCTCCAACAAAGGTGTAGTTACCTCTGGCGGTGGATGAATGGATAAATTCCTAAAAACGGTGGCAACTCCTCCCTTATGAGGGTATTTCAGCATTTGGTGCAGGGTGGAGGACACAGCCTTCATGTAATGGAACCAGGGCCTCCCTAGAAGTAGGTTGAAGGTAGTTGGCATATCAAGCACGTGGAACTCAATCTCATGCTTGGAAAGGCCTACTTGGACCTGTACTTTCACTGTCCCCATAACCTCTCTGCTCGTATTGTCGTACGCCCAGATCACTTAGGTTGTGGGGACAAAATTTATAGGTTTTAGGCCTATCACATAGGTGGTACGAGAAGGGCAACCGTTCATAGTAGAGCCGATGTCCACTAAAACCACTGGAACTCACTTTCCTCTACACTCGACAGATATGTACAATGGCTTGTTGTGAGCCGATCCTTCCGGCGGCAACTCTTTATCGAAGAAAGTGAGCATAGGCTTGGTGTTGCCTAGGAAGATCAGGCCAATAAGCTGCTCTTGTGTAGTATCAATGGATAATTTAGCTTTATCTATCGCCAACAATACTGCCTATCGGTGTACTAGCGAATGCATAAGGAGGCCCTAGATGGAAATATCAACTTGGATCTTTTTGAGTTGTTTCAGAACCAGCTCCTTCTCCAGTTTTTTCTCATTTTCCTTCTCAACTTTTCGGTCCTTTCTTGATGGTTCAGCCTGATCCAAGTTTGGAGGTTTGAAATACCATCCACTCCTGGTGAGATGGTCTATTTCCTCTGAATACCATGTACGGTTCGGGATGTGATTTTCTCAGTCTTCGTCTGTGTGAGCAAGATGCAGATTGTTATCTTCCCACCACTCTCCAGCTGTAGACAAATAATTGTCTGACTCAATTGGATCACTTTTACAGTACAAGTTTCTCCCTCAAGGTGACAAGATGTTCCAACTTTCCGGCTCTCTTCGATCCTCTCCCGTTCAAACTGCCCCAGTACAGCTTTCTATTAAGTGTCTGTAATTTTAACAACACCCAATTCTTGGATTTGTTTTTCCGTGCTACTACTCTCTGGGATTTTTCCTTTCTCCTCAGTTTTCTCGCCTACCATAGCTACTCTGACTTCTTTTTTCTTCGATTTAACTCCAGTTTCCTTTTCTTTGTCAGATTCATCACTCAGCCATCGACGATTGTCAGTTGACCCGCTTAGATCAAACTAACCAATCTGTACATTGCCTTGGTCCTGTTCTTAAAAGAATCGAAGGTTGTCCAGATCTTCCTCAAGGTCCGCATGGTCATCTAGCCCTTGGCTTGGGCCATGTTCCCTAACCACATTAATGTCAACTGAGGTTGGTAGTAGTACCTTAGGCTTGGGATGTGTAGCAGAAACAATGTAACGGCTCGGGTCATACTCCCCCTTTATGAATGAACAACACTACTTTGGTAGATGGAAGGAGGTGATATAGACGCTGGGGTCATAGGAGGTGGGTAGTGTATGGATAAGGTGGATATTTCTAGGTGGAGGGACTTGGTTATGGACATGGAATGGGTTGGTGGTCACATTTGGTTTTTGGGGTGGGGCTATGACTTTGTTATCAATGAAATTTTGAATCTCATGATGTAGGCGGAAGCACCGATCCGTCTCATGGCCGTGCTGTTGATAGAAAGCACAGTATTTGGTAGTATCGTGCTTAGGTGAAAGAGGGTCTGGAAATGGTCGAGATTCTAGGGGTTTCAGATGCCCCTTTTTTTTATTAACACCTACATGGCTCGAGATAGTTATGTAGAGTTGGTTGAAAGTCCCGCCTAGAGGTCGGGTAGGGTTAGAAGTTTGTGGGCTCATATTGGCAAAGAGGTCAGTAGTTTTGGTTGTAGTGAC